CAAATGAATGACCGTATGGACTTTAGTGTTAGCCTACTTAGTTTATTTCTGCTGATGTAGATAATTCCTCGTCGATAAACATAATGTTGCTGTTTTAAACAAATCTTACTTTAGTTGTTATTTCAATATTTTTATTAGGTATATTATAGTATATTTTATATGAGGATTAGTTTTATATGTATGTATGTATGTATATTAAAATAATCATATTGTTTTCTGTTGTATAATGTTAAGTATATGGCTCTGTAGAAATAAAATGTGTTACTATAAGAATTATATTTAGAACTCTCGTCTGCGATACAGGATTGTCCTAGTGCAGGCATTTCACATTGTGAGGACAATTGTACGTATTTACGATATGTTTTGTATTTTGCATTTTTTGAATATTGAATAAATTTTTATTTTTTTTTATTTCCATATTATATACATTTATTGACAGGCGCCGTTAAAATATTTATCGTTTTAAACAATTCTCTCAGCGATTCGCATCATGTTCACCTTCAATATAAGAATTATTGTCTCCATGGTTCACTAAAAAATATTTTAGTGATTGGAGACAAATATTATCATCTTTTTTGCAGTTAGAGCCTACTGAATGTGAATATGTAATATTATTAATTAATATTGTTTTGTACGCTCCCTCAAATGCTGATGCTGTGGGCATAATATTACTACCTCCATGTGCTCGAATTGCTCCAAAGAAATTTTCTATTGGATCTTGATTGAAATGGCGCAATTCACACCTTTGGAATGTAAATATTTTACAACACTTTTAAAATGTTCTATTGTCTTGATCCAGCTAACACAGACGGCACTCCTTGATTGCCCTTCTTTGCATGACTTTTTTAATTTTTTTAAATAAATCTGGGTGATGTAATTAATGCTCTAGATCAAAGGAAAAAAAATCCTAGTGTAAATAAAAATAAGTATTATGTAAAAAAACAATATGATGGAAATTTACATCATCATGCATTGTCGCATACTTAGCTCAGTACTAAAGAAATAAAAAAATATTGTTTACTCAATCTTCTTTATTCTTTATGATAAATAAAAAAACAATTATAATTTTTATTTAGGCACAAATTGACGCCACATTTAATACACGAAATTGTGGAATAGCCTTTACATTTGGGAAATTTGCACCGGAGTGACCCACCTACTTTTGGCCAATGTTCAGCACCATCTTTTCTTATGTCTTTTGGAGGTGGTGGAGCTGGAGAACCTTTTCTTTTTTTTTATTGCAATTCTTCTTCTAGTACACTGGTACTAGGACGCCCTCTTTTGGCTTCTTTGGTGGGTGGTTCCTTTGTTGCATAGCACAAAGGCCAATTCATTTCTGAATTGGCCCATTGTAAGCAAACTCTTTTTAGCTTCACCTCTTTCTTGAGCATTTTTTTTATAAACAATCCTAGAGTTTATAATAGCTAGATCAAATACCTACATGAAAAAAAATGCGCAAATACCACTTTTTAGACCTAATTTGTAATTTGGTTTCTGCCCAAAAAGCTATCCATGAGGTCTACTCCTCCCATATGTTTATTGTACTCTTGGACAATAAACGGGCAAGTAATACCAATTTTTCCTTTTGTTATCCTGTCAAATCTTTTCACTTTGGTCAGGGGCAATGCTCCACAATAAGAAGATAACAGAGTTACTATCTTGTTATCTTTCCAAGCCACACAACTCAAATCGATACCATCGTGCACAGACACTCTTTCCACATAACTACCTCTGGGCACAGACTTTTTCATGAAGTTTTTCTTGTCTGGAAGTTTATTATTTGGTATCCTGTTTTGTTGCACAGTTCCCACTGTGTGAATTCCTGATTTAGCTAAAAACAGTACCAACGGCAATGATGTACAAAAGTATATGATGTAGTTTTGCTTTCTAGGCACTCCTCGAAGCAAACGAACTACAACATTTCCTGTTGCACCAAGATCTGGTTCATCTGGGAGTTTCTCTGTATTCTCCTGTCCAGAATATACCTCAAACTTGTGGGCATTACCCATCAAATCACAGAGAACATATAATTTGAAGCCCCATTTATGGGGTTTATTAGGCAGATACTGTTTTAAAAAATGCCCTATTTTGGTATAACACATCTGTTCATTCATAGAAAGTCTTTGATTCATTGGCACTGTGGCAAACCTCTCATTGAGATGCTTGATAACGGGGCGGATTTTATAAAGCCTGTCATGTTCTGGATGATCTATAGATTTGTGAAGATCATTGTTATTAAAATGTAATGACAACTTAATTTTCTCAAACTTGTTCGGTGGCATTGTTGAAGAAATGGGCTCATATCCAAACTTTGGCGACCGGTATGATCTTGTGCTAGGAAATTTGATTACTGACATGTATAATATTATTCCAAAAAACTTATACAAATCATACTCTGTATATGTTATAGATGAACTCGGATTCTTCTGTATTGTATATAAATTTGTCTCCTCAACTAATGTTTTGATAAAATCTTCAGTGATAAAATAGTTAAAACATTGAAATGGAGTTTCTAGGTGTGATAGACCACCTGAAGCAGTAGAGCCTCCCAAGAAAGTTGTTTTATCTGTATTATACACCAGATTCCTTTTTTTTTTCAAATCAAGCTTCTTTTGTCAAACAGAAAACTGGATGAAGACTGCAAATTGGATGAAGTTGATGGTTAAGAGGGTTCTTGATCTTCTGGTTCTACAAGAGGAGGATCAATGTCAGCAGTTTCATCCACATCATCATCAAGATCATTGTTCTCCTCCTGCAGCACTCTTATAACTTCATCAGCATCGCGGTATTCATCTTCGGAATCTTGGTCATCAACAGTGCCGGTTTTAGTACTAACAGCGCCCTGGGCGAGATTTCTACGGCGCCCCCTAATTGCAATTCAAACCCATACGAAAAAAGGCGAAGGATAATAATGAAATAACCATTTATGAAAAGAAATAAACATTTATTAAAAAAACTAATAAAATTTTACTTTTCTAGCCTTTCTATCGGCGAACTCTTTTATTAAGTTATCAAAGTCGATGTTTTCAGCTATTTCATTTTCGATCGACAAAGTTGCCAAGTTTGTCAATCTAGATTGTGATATCGTCGATCGCAGATAGGTTTTTATTAGCTTAAGCTTAGAAAAACTCCTCTCTCCACTAGCAACCGTTACGGGAATAGTTAATAATATTCGTAATGCTATCCAAACATTTGGATATAGTTCTTTTAAGTTGCGGTCTTTAATAAAATTTAAAACAAAAACAGGAGTAACCACTTTCTGATCAGGCAAAAACGATTTCAGACTTATGAGTTCATCGCACAACATACATCCATCTATATCTGATTTGGAATTTACATTTAATTTCAATTGAAGATCACTACAGAGTTTGATAAGGTCGTGTTTTTCTGGAATCTGTTTTAAATTGTACAAAAAAGACCAAGATTCCGAGTACTCACATAACTGTTCAAATCTTTCGTTGAGTGAAGTTAACGTCGTGTCCAAAAGACAGTTGAAAAATTCAACCTCAAATTTTTTTTCTGGAGAAGTTATAGGCTCATCTTGGGCAGTTTCACCAGCTTGGCGCTTAACACGTCGAATTCTTGTTGTCGCTCTAAACACAGGTTCTATTTCTAACTCTTCAGCCAATTCCTTCGCAGTTAGAATGGCGCTTTTAAAGCCTGTATTTCTATATTCTTCCAAGAAATTGCAGCATTTTTTCAGCATGTCTGTGCATTTACCGAGATCCATGTCTGTTGATTGTAGAGATTTACTAACGACATTAATTTGAAAAAGTATGTCATACCAGACAACCAATGAAACTATGAAGCCGAAATCTTTTAGCTGTTCGGCTAGAGTAGTAGCCTCATGAGAGACTTGAACATCAGTTTGCTGAGTTTCGAGAGCCAAAGTGATTAAAGCGTCATGGACGGCGCTAATTTGATAACGGACTGCTTTAACACTGCCTATTCTTGCTTCCCAACGCGTGTCACTGAGTTTTTTTATAGTGTACAATCCCAAGTGATCGGTCAGAATTTTCCATCGATGAACAGAAGCTGAAAACAACGTAAACAACCTCTGAAGTACTCCAAACAAAGTGACAGATTTTACAGATGACTTAGCGGCATCGCATAGTACGAGATTGTAGCTATGACAGCCACACGGTACATATACAGCTAAAGGATTTATGTCCAGAATTCTTCTTTGAACTCCAATATTTTTTCCTTTCATGTTTGCTCCGTTGTCATAGCCCTGACCTCTACAATC